CACGTAGGTAGGGCCGATTGGGGGATCCAGGAATCGTTGATTGGCTTTTGAACTGTTTCTGCTGGGTTCTAATTCCCAAGTAGCTCGGCTTCCTGGGCAACTGAACACCACAATGAATAAATTAGTGACTACGACGCTCTTAGATGCGGAGTGGGATCTGATTCAGACTGAAAGAATCTCAGAAGCGATTTCCATGCCGAGTGGGGTGGCCCCTATCCAGGCTATTTCATCCGCTCCGCTGAGGTCACGCAGGTTAAAGTCATTGGACCTCAACTTTAGGGACTTGAAGGTTTATGCAACTGTGTATGCAGGTCAGCTGCCATGTCCCACCCAGACAGGATTGGAAGATCAAATCCTGCCAACATCTTCATCACAAATCTCCGACCTTGACCTGTAATCCCGCACTTTCCAATATCATCATTGAACCAGGCATGCGCAAGATCTCCTGTGTTGTAAAGTGGGGTTCCGAGAGTGAGGGTGTTGGAATAAAGCAGTTGAGCTCCCAAAAGCACGAATATCAAATTCAACCCTCACTGCCCAACGTCCAAGAGGGTTCCATCAGAAAACGGTACGCCAAGGATGGCAACACTATGAGCTTTGTTCCCATGGTGGATACGTATGGGATACGTTTCAACCGTGGCGTCCGAGTAGCTTTTTCGAACGGATTGCTTTTGCAAGGATACAATAAGCCCTAAATATATAGCCGCCCCAACCACATCTTGAGCCCGCGCCTCATGCAGTCCTTCTCCAACTGTTGCACAGGTCTCCTACGTTCTTGCTGAAAACGGATTGTGAGGGCGACCCGACAAACCGGGAGTCTTGATTAGAGGGAATTTCTGTTTCTGATCTGTCTGATGGTGCTAGAGCATTGCACTGCTGAGCTGCGCTGGGCAGCCTCTCAGATTGCACCGGAGTGGCTTGAAATAACCTTGTTTTTATGCAACGGCCCCCTCCTTTATGCGATGCATGAAGACTATGGAAATCTGACATCCTAAGCAGAAATTGTAGATGTGCACCAAGCTTCTGGTTCCAGAATGACCATCTACGATTCAGATGATGCTGCAAGATTACCCTGTACAGGTCAACTCCATCAAAACTCGACCAAGCAACAGTTGTGGAAAACTGAAGCCCCCGCTTGCGCCCAGCCCCAAACATAATCCAGGCCCAAAAACAGGCAACAAAAACCTGATGCGCTGCGGTCTAAACTCCAAACACATGCACAAGCCTTTTAACCTTTTCCGCACCCCTATAGCCCAGAGCAAGAGGTGCCACCACACCCGAAAGCCGCAAACACAAGACTCGCCAGCGGCAGAAACAACAGCTCTACTTGTCATGGCAGGCTGGTGCTACAGTCATATAACCACCGTGATGGAAACTCTCTGAAGTAGGCACAGTGGTCACAGCTTCGGCAGCAAATAGAAACGGAACCGGCCCCCGCACGATCGACAACAATGACAAGAACAGCAACAAGCTGTACCATAACAACGACCAGAGCAGCAATCGCAAGAGCATCGGCAACTGAAGCAACAGCGGCAGAATCATCGACCCAAGCACCGTGAAAAGCAAACTAACGACGAGGGCTATAACAATGACAGTCAGAACAAGGAAATAACAGTAAGAGACTGTAGACGGGACTGTCTGTACTGTGGATGGAGGAAACCTTGTAGCACTGGGGTTCTCCCAAATACGGCATTTCCTTGTCTACAAGAGGGGGGGTCCATATGTATTAGAGTACTTATGGGGGGACCCTCATAGTCGGCATCATCGTACATTGCGGTCCATGTTGGGTCCTCGGCTTACGGAAGCTGCCATATGAGGTAGTAAAAGATTTCCTCCAGCGACCGTTGTACTCTTTCAGATGATGCTCAAGACCATGGCGTCTGTCTCACATGTTGATAATCGAGAACGGAGGATGGGACCTTCTTGTAGCCCCTATGACGCCCGAATTCTTCATATCCTAATTTCCCTGATCTTTTCTAGTCCTTCGTTCCCCAGTAATCGCCTCCCCCTAATATCAACCCCCCTCCCCTAATATGAAACACTCCCAATCATTTCCATAATGGGAATATTCAATATTCGGGGTGGGGGAGGGGATTTAACCTTAAACCCCCTAAGCCCTAAGCAGGCCTGTACCAGCCATTTCCTTCGGTACTTCCCCAGCTCGTGAAGCCCCAGTCGTTGGACCAGCTCCTTCTCCCGTTGAGGATGCAGCCGACTTGGGGATTTTCGATGGGATTCAGGGAAGCCTGCTGCATCTGGTGCATTTGTGGGGTAGACTTGGGTGGTTGGAGGAAAAAAGGTTTCGAGCTGAGGGTCTAAGGTTGGGCTTCAGGGAGTCGGCTCTAGGGTAGAACCCTAAACCCTAAATTTAAACCTTAAACCGTAGTTTTGGGTCTGGTGGGTTGTTATTCCCGAATTCTAATATGAAACCTGAGACCGCAAGCCCAGCTTGTAGAGGCTTAGCTCCCAGAGGATCCTTAGTATCTATATGGTACAAAGTAGGATTTCTTTACTAGGAGTAAATATTCTGGTTGAAAACCCTAAACCCCTATGGTTTTCGGCGGTCAGTATTCCCCATATAGGTATTAAGGATCCTTTGGGGCTCGTGTCGTCTCGCAAAGGTTTTGAACGTGGCTCTTTCAGGCTGAGTATGTAGGATTCTCGAGGCAGGGCGCGGGATCTCAGGATTTGGGGTTTAGGGTTTAAGGTTTAGGGCTCCAATTGATTTACCATTACTAGTGCTATAGAATCCTGCCACAAGTTCCTAAGATCCGAAGGCTCCTGCTACATGAATTCGGGTCCCGGGGCATGCTTGTTCTAAGACCTTTGACCCTGACCCCATAGCCTAATACCCGAAAAAACCATAACTGGACTTGTTGGAGTCCAACCCTTGAACCCTAAACCCTAACCCCTACACCCCTAAACCCTCAACCCCTAAACCCCTAAAACCCTACCCCTAAAACCCCAAACCCTAAAACCCTAAAACCCCTAAGCCCTAGCCCTCGAAGTCGGCCGTCATTGGTCTTGCCAGAAATCCAAATCACGGGGTGTCCCAACATGAAGGGTACCTTTTCAGGGGTCCCACCCTAAACCCTAAACCCTATAAACCCTAAACCCTCGCGTGTGCA